ACCCCACCCCCAATCCATACCAGTTATCCAGAAATATTAGTGCAATCATAAAAACAGAGCTCCTCTCTAGTTGATCTACAGAGCACATATAAATCTAACACCGATTAACTTTTAAGCACCTCCATTTCTTCTGTATTAGACTTAGTTTCTGCTTGTGTGGGCGGAGCTTCTTCTGATTTAGGCTCCTCTTGATCAACTTGCATTTTCTGGAAAGAAACATAAGTATGCAATTATGCATGATTTACTTCCAATTAGAATTGAAGTACAGAAAAAGGAATTGGAGTACGCTTTAATACCTCTTCATCTTTTGCAGCCTGGTCAGTTTCCATAGGTTCCTCAGAATCGTCTGTTTTATGAACTTCAACCAGAGATGCACTCGATACACTAAATATACCATGGACATTTACACGGACTTTCACCTTCACTTTGGAACTGGAGCCATCGGCCTGAGGAGTAACCTTCTGTACATGGAACTGACCTGCCAACAAACATGGAAAAGGCTGCACCCTTAATATAATCCGGTACTCTGTAGTAACAGCAGCATTTGTAGCAGGCACCATTAGGTGTTTGCTCTATCCAATACTTAGTCCCCCTATTAAAAGCCTGGGTACACCCAAAACTCCCACTTCCCCTCCACAATCCAGCATTTAGTTCCTGAGCAAGTAATTACCAGGCCCAAGTACTGACATGTGTGGGCAGGGGGGTGCCTGCCAAGCCCTGTGCAAGATACAACTTTTAAGCTGGATGGCTTTGGCAGGTGGAATGGGGTTGCAAGGGACCATTCAGTGATTGCAACAAATGTTGCTGCTTAATAGGATTAGACTACAAAATAAGAAAAATACAGAAAGTTCATTTCTATCAGGCACCTGCTTTAGAGAACCTGCATTGAGTGACTGCAATACAATGTAAAAGGTCAGCTAAGCTGATAAATAGTATAGACCTCCCTTTAAGTCCTGCACTTCAAACATGCCTAGCACATCACTTTATGTAGAGTAAACCGGCAGCAAGGGGTTTCTTTTTTTCCCTGAAAGGTTGAGTTACAAAGCAAGAAGTAATTATTACCTAATGAGGGGTCTGGGTAGGGCAGTTCTTTGGGTGCACTATAGTAAGCATCCAAAGTAAAAGGTTCTTTCCTGTAAAAGGTCAGCACTTTGGAGAAAGGAGCTGCGTGGTTCTTGGGGAACACCTCGCAATCACTGCAAAAAACAGACAAGAAAATGAACAGGGTAAGGTCATTCACAAATTGGGCAAAATGAATGTATGTACATACACACACACACACACACACACACACACACACACACACACACACACACACACGTTTACACACAGATCGGCAAGTGTAAAAACTCCTTACCTAAGCCCTTCCTCTGCTGGAGAATTCCATTTTAGAGATATTGGGTATTGAACATGCATCACATCAATTCTGTCACGCAGAACGTATTTAATTACCAGGCCTTCATAACTGGAATGGATAGCCATCCAGGCACAAACTAAATAATTAATTGTCTATGCAACCATTCTAACTAGGGATGCACCGATACCGGTATTGAGTACGAGTACTGATCTTTTTTTCCCAGTACTCGCAGATACAGAATACCGATGCTGGAAGTCTCATTATGGAAGCCAAGCGGCGTGGAATGACTCACCACCCGGCTTCCCGATAGTAGGGAAGCCGTCCTTATGCTTCTCGTCACTATGTGACGATAAAGCATGGAGCCGGCTTTCTGGCTAATCAGAAAGCCGGGTGCTGCATCGTTACACAGCGCCCGGTTTCCTGATTGGCCAGCTTCCCGACCAATCAGGAAGTCGGGTATAAGACACGGCGCCTGACTTTCAGATTGGCTGGGAAGCCGGCTTCATGCTCCCTCGTCGTCTCATGACGAGGGAGCATGGAGCCGGCTTCCTGATACTGGAAGTATCAAGTTGGGTATCGGAGCATTTGGGCGAGACAAGTACTCGCCCAAATACTCGGCATCAGCACCGATACTAGTAGCTGTGCATCCCTAGTTCTAACTATACAGTGTAAGCGTGCATGGCCACATGGATGATGCACATTTAGTATTATATGAAATATCAGATAACATCATAACACTCAAGGGCCATGCCGGTTATTTTTAATTTTATATTTTTAGGGCATGCATACAAGAATTGGCAGGCTTGCTATATACACCAAAATCAGTTCAGACATATCAGAGAAAGCCACAGTACATGTTGCAATGACCCCTTACCTGTAATGCACAGCCCCTAGCTACAGCTTCATCAGCATTCAATGTTGTGCTGACTTCCTTACCAAAGAATCGTATTATTCGTTCTTTAACAGCTGGGATACGTGTAGCACCCCCAACTATTTCTACTGCATAAATATCTTCTTTCTTGAGCTCTGTGGAGACAAAGAGGTGAGAGAAATTGACAAAAACATAAGGTGCATTATCTCAAGGTCATCAGGTCATACATAAAATGTCTAGTGTCTGGTTCACATCACCTTGCCCTGAGCAAACAGGGCTCAGAACACATGTATCCTTTTACTGCTCAAGGTAGGTTAAAAAGGAAAAATTAAAAAGGGAGACACAAAATCTTGTCTGCTTTAAAACAGACAAACTACATACATACACCCCTTGAGAAATGGTACAGGTAGCAACAAAGAAAACCACTTTATAAAGCAAACCACTTTATAAAGCAAAAGGTTAAAATTAGGGATGCACTGATACCGATACTTGGTACAGAGTACGAGTAACGATAATTTTTCTCCACGGCACTCGCCGATACCAATTACCGAGTAATGGAAGTCCCATTCAGGAAGCCAGGTGGCGTGTCAAGACTCCCCACCTGGCTTCCCGATTAACAAGAAAGTCCCCTCTTACCTTAGTATGTGCAGCCTGTCACCCTCGGGGGCCTCTCCAGCGAGAATGCAGCCTTTCTCCGGTACCCAGCCGCAGCCGTCTGGCCGGCCAATCAGGAAGCCAGGCGCCATGTAATGATGCAACGCCCTGCTTTCCGATTGGCCGGGAAGCTGGCTTTATGCTCCCTCGTCATCCCATGACGAGGGAGCATGGAGCCGGCCAATCGGAAAGCAGGGCGTTGCGTTATTACACGGCGCCCAGCTTCCTGATTGGCCAGCCAGATGGCTCCGGCTGGGTACCGGAGAAAGGCCACGTTCTCGCTGGAGAGGCCCCGGGGGCGACAGGCTGCACACATACTAAGGTAAGAGAGGACTTTCTTATTAATCAGGAAGCTGGGCGCCATGTAATAACGCGACGCCCTGCTTTCCGATTGGCCGGCTCCATGCTCCCTCGTCATGGGATGACTAGGGAGCATGAAGCCAGCTTCCCGGCCAATCAAAAAGCAGGGCGTTGCGTCAATACACGGCGCCCGGCTTCCTGATTGGCCGGCCAGGCGGGGGTACCGGAGGAAGGCCGCGTTCTCGCTGGAGAGGCCCCGGGGGTGACAGGCTGCACATACTAAGGTAACCTTACCTCGCGAGGCCAGCTTCCTGACCAATCAAGAAGCATGGCAGCGTGTCATTACACGCTTCCCGATTGGCCGAGAAGTCGGCTCCATGCTCTCATCACAAGTGACGAGAGAGCATGGAGCCACTTCCCGACCAATCGGGAAACCGGAAGTAATCGCGCTAGGCATCGTATTTCCAAATACTCGGAATAGGCACCGATACTAGCATCAGTGCATCCCTAGTTAAAATCTAAACAAACTTTCACCAGTGGAAAGAAACTGAAGGGTAACATCAACAGAAATAGTTTCCGTTAACAAAGAGCCTTATTTTAACATTTAATAAAATGTCCTCATATTTTTCCTATATTGCTTACACTTGTTCAGAGGCTAGTTTAAGCATAAACTATGACTGCAGATTTTAGGATCACTTACTGGTTTGTTCCAAGATGCTGCGTAGAGGACCTTCAATTCGAGACAACAGGCTATCGCACATTTCTTCAAAGTGACCCCTTGGATTTGGAGAGAGAAAAACAAACAAAAAAAAACAAAAAAAGTTAATATGGATGTGGAAAAATGCTGATGGTCCAAAACATGCTGAAAAGTAAACTTTCTATATAAGGCCTAATGTTTCAAGTCTAAATACACTGCCTGGGCGAAAAAAAATAAATAGAAGTCAGATCCTAGAGTTAGCTAGATAAATAGGTCAGGGCTATAGGGGTTGCTTCAGTTGGTCAGGTCCAGGTTTGGCAAGGTCATGTGCCCAAAAATGAGGTCAGCTGCCCATTTGAATATACTGAATGACCAGGTTTTTCCCCATCAATGGTTTTTTTCCTTCCGATTGCATGGGCATATTCCAAGATGACAATGCCAGGATTTATCAGGCTCAAATTGTGAAAGAGTGGTTCAGGGAGCATGTGAAATTTTCACACATGGATTGGCCAGACCTTAACCCAAATTGAGAAAACTTTTGGAATGTTCTGGAGAAGACTAGGCGGTGGTCCGACTCTCCCATCATCACTACAAGATCTTAAGAAAAAATTAATGCAACTCTGCATGGAAAGCAATGTTTTGGCATTGCATTAGCTTACCGAAATTATTCCATGGCAAATGAATGCCGTAATCAAAGCTAATGGCAGTCCAATGAAAAGTGTGACTTTTTTTGGCCAGCCAGCTGGAAGTAGGTGGTAGTATTTGGGTCAGGAAGCTGGATAGAGCTGTAATTCTACCATCATGCACCTTCTCTGCTACTCTATTACTTTGGCTTTGTTTTTAAGAAGTTAAAATTTGCACATTGTTTCAGCTTATTAGATCTCTGGTTTTACGGGTCGTTTGGAGAACGGCTGCTTCTAAAAAATGTTTTTATCATATTCGTAGTGAATTGGCTAGGTTTGCTTTAGTTTGCATCAGTCTCATCTATCTTTTACCTTATGCATCTTTTTTGCCTACTACATTGCTGGACTAACCCATTACTGATACATTGCTGCTTATGTGTTGGTATTGCAGAAAGGACATTTAAATAAAGTATTGTTATGCACATGATAATTTAAAGCCCATTAGGTTGTTTTAAAAGGAGGGTTAAGTCTTCCTTTTGTCTAGGGGGCCCAAAGTAAAGCAGGTCTAATCAGGTGGTCTTCAGTCCCACCGGGCTGCTAGATCATCCATGCACCCTCTTCTCCCCTGGGCTCCGGCAGTTTAAGGACCGCTGACATCACACCTTATGCAGGACCATTGAGCTGCACTGAATGTGAGGACGCCGAGGGACAGTCCACAGCTAGAGCGTAGGGGAGTGCAAACTGAGGATGGGACTGAGGATCAGGTGAGTAGAGTTGCTTTATTTTAACCACCCTGGGCAAGCACTAGACCCTTCCAGTGCAAGTTGTTTTGTTTTTTTAAATACCCAAAGTTATTTTATGAATGGATACTATTCCAAAATGACATCCCTCCAACAAGTACCTGTTCATTTTTCCAGAGACATCAATATCATTCATAAAACATTCAATATTTAGAGGCAGATCTGAAGCATTTGCACTCATCAACTTCTTGAGCTTTTCACACTCCTGAGCGAGTCGCAGTAAAGGCCTAATCTTAGACTTGATATCCAGTTTATATTTCTTGCCGAACTCTTCACAGAAATAGGCAACCAGAACATCATCAAATTTCCTTCCGCCGACATTTGGGTCAAAGGAAGTAGCTAGTACCTGAAAGAAGTATCAAAGAAAATCCAGTCAGGCCCAACATCTTTTGATGTGTGACAGTGCAGGCAAAGTATGAACTGTGGTAACCAGCATTAAGGTGCAAGAATTGCTGAACAGGAACATGAATTCAACTGGGACTACGCATGTCATCCAATTGGCTGTGCATTGTGAAAAAAGAATGCAATCCCAAGCCCATGTCTAAACACACATATAATCTATTGTGTTACAGGGGCATTAGTTTCCTTATGTCTTCATCTCAGCTGAATAAAAATTAATATTTTTAGTCAGTATTATGAATTATTTTTATCCACGAGGGTGGACAGCCAAAATTACTGTCATGAAGCATGCTTATACTTATGACCCTGCTCCTGGTGTTGCAAACTTATTATTACCATAGGTTACCCATTTAGAATGGCTTTAAAATTGCCAAATGCAGGTTTACTGTAGTAGCCATTTCATACAAAAGGTTTTAAGCTTTTGCAATTTGTGGAATGTACAGCTGAGATGAAATACCATTAACTGCACACTAGTGTCTCGTAAGACTGCTTTTAGCTAGTTAAAGACAGAGGTGACCCTGTCTACCCATTCAGTTGCAGTGTAGATGATTTATCTGTACATCTTGTATGCCTGGTGACAGACCTCACAAAAGAGGTGTCAACTCTATTCTCATTCCAGTGAAAAGGTAAAGATTTCGGCTTTCCACGCACTTTGTCCCAGTGAAAAATGGATCTTTTAATCGGGAAGGGTTAAAACCGATGTCAGATTTTTACTTCCGTCTTTTTCCCCGCTCGATCCAAAACCAGGAAAAAGATTTCGCCTCAGTTCTTGCAATGTCCCAGAAGAATAAGCAGTTCTGTGCGTCTTGCTATCCTTGTGTAAAATGTCAAGAAATTACCTTGTAACCTTTTCAATTAAATTAAACCAACTAGGTATTTTAACCATGTCATGCATTTAAGCCATATTGCTCTATCTTCAGCCTAAACTCTCCACCCTTCACAGTAGAGGAATGTTCACACACCGAAAGATATATTGGTTGTAAAACCTAAGAAAAGAACTCAATGGCACAACAGTGAGCAAAGATACTATAGCCGAATGAATCATTGATATAACAAGCGACATCATCAGATGAAACATTTAATCATGTTTAAAGTCAGGTCGAAAAGCCTAGAATTCAGCCCTCGTGACGTGCAGCTCACATAATGAAGCTCAGAATAAAAATCAGCATTTATAAACATAGTATGGGTTTACTTACCTCATGAATGCTTCAGCCAGTATATAAAAAAAGATTAAACATTATGTGCTCAGCACTTTTAGGAAACATGGACTTTTGAGCTTACTTTAAGTTTTCCTTTGTTAAAAGCACACACAGAGACTTGATATGCTGAATGCCCCATGTCCACAAACACAACAAGCCTTGGCTTTTCTTCTGGTGCAGGTAGATCTTGTTTATAGATTCCATATGCAAGTGCCACTGTAATGTTAAATAGACAAAGAACATGGACAAATAAGCTTTAAGTAACAGTGTTCGACAGTTTTGTTCCACAGAGTCACATTTGCACTAGGGATGCGCCGATACCAAGCATTTGGCTGAGTACTCATACTCGCCCAAATGCTCGAATACTTATCCCGATACTGGAACTTCCGGTCAGAGGCAGATTTCCTCTGACCAGCAGTGCTGCAAGAGAACATGGAGCCAGATTCCCGGCCAATCAGGAAGCCAGGCCGTGGATAATCACTCAAAACCCAGCTCCCTGATTGGCTGGGAAGCCAATCAGCATCGAGCCAGCTTCCCGGCCAATCAGGGAGCTGGGCCACAGGTCAAATGATACGCTACCCGGCTTCCTGATTGCCCGGGAAGTCGGCTCCATGCTACCGGAAGTACCAGTATCGGAGAGTACCGAAATATAAATATCACTCAATCGAAAAACCCACATCGGTGCATCCCTAATTTGCACACACATACTACTGCTTTATAAATGAGCACATAAGGGAGTACTTTTCAGGATGCAAGGGTACGCACTAAGGATCGTGAGAAATAAAAGACGCTTCACACTGACTAGCCTGGCCGGGGATGCAGTGTGGTTTCCACCTCCAGCGCTCCCAATCGCCACTGTGACACTTGTCAATGGCCAACAAAAGTCTTACTATAAAACCCATCCGAGCCCACACAACTTCCTTCAGTTGTATGTGCCTTCAGAGGTCCGATGTAAACCAAAGATGTGAACTATTGCAAACTCATCAGGATTGGACAATAACCAGCAAAGGTCTAGGAACACATGTAGTAGCACATGAAAGAGGCTGTAGTGCAGCTGAAATAGATGCAGTCTTCAAAAAATTTGACCCAACTGGAGTCAAATTTTTGTGGATAGATTCTCTAAAGGCATTTAAACCATTCTAACAGTTTGACCAAGGAGCACCAAACTTGTTAACTAAAACAGGTTGTTACCAGTCCACCTAGAGGAAATGCTCAACAGCAGATGAAGCATAAAGGTCCTTGGAGCACCAGGAGCTCTAAAAACACCAAATGAAGGGTGGTGAGAACTTAATCAGTAACGTTTGGAAAAAAAAAAAAACCCCTTGTAAAGCCAAGTCAACTGCAGGAGACTAAATTGGACCCAAAACAGCTGTGATTCTGAAGCAGCAATAACAGAGGCTGAAGACCCTTTTCTGGTTCACTGTCACAGCAGGGTCACAGAGACTCTGCCATGGAGGTCACTGGAGTGTGCCTAAAACCCCCAAGGACAGAACTAGTGATGCATAGATACCGGTATTTTGGTACCGATAATTATTTTTCGGTACTCGCCGATACCAATTACCAAGTACCGGAAGTCCCATTCAGGAAGCCAGGTGGTGTGTAAAGACTCGCCAGCCGGCTTCCCGATTAACAAGAAAGTATATCCCCTCTCACCTCAGCATGTCCAGCCTGTCACCCCCGGGACCTCTCCAGCCAGGCCTTCCTCCACTACCCAGCCGGAGCCGTGTTCCTGGCCAATCATTGAACCGTTGTGTAATGACGCGGCACCCTGCTTTCTGATCGGCCGGCTCCATGCTCCCTTGTCATGAGATGACGAGGGAGCATGAAGCCGGCTTCCGGCCATTCAGAATGCCGGGTGCTGCATCATTACACGCTGCCTGGCTTCCCGATTGGCTGGGAAGTCGACTTCATGCTCTCTCATCACAAGTGACGAGAGCATGGAGCCGATTCCCGGCCAATCAGGAAACCAGGCAGCGTGTAATGACGCGCTGCCCGGCTTCCTGATACAGGAAGTATCGGGCTAGGCATCGGAGCATTTGGCCGAGCACTCGCTCAAATACTCTGTATCGGCACCGATATCGATACTAGTATTGGTGTATCCCTAGACAGAATGATATAGGAATGCGGAGTCACTGACCCAGAAAAAGCATGCATGGAGGAATGTCAGTAACAAGTCCTGCAAGGACTGAGCGCCATTAGATCTGTGCGACGGACAGGCAACCTGTATTTTTAGGAGAGGTCACTAATTGGAGCCTCCATGTTTTTCTCCTGACAGAAAACAGTTTTATTGCATGGCAGCAAAAACTTCTTTTGTGTGTGAAATGATGCCAATTCTACATTGGATTCGAACCACATGTTACACACACATACAATAGTTTTAGATCTACCAAAAAAAAAAAAAAAAAAAAAAAAAAAAAA